CTGACCCCAGACATCAGACTTTTTCCCTTGASAGAATAAATTTGTGTTGTTTTAAGCCACCCGGTTATGGGCGATTGTTCCAGCAGCTCTAAGAAAGTTAGTCTGGAGGATTAAATAAAATGTATATAACACCCTGAGTAGAGTTCCTGGTACTTTTAAAGTGTTCATCAAATGACAAACCCTTTCTTTTGTAGGGAGGAACACAAAAGGATGAAAAGGAAGTGGGGTGCAGGGTGAGAGACAGGACATTTTGTATGGCGGAGTGGCACAAGCTGAGCATAGGAGGGGTCTTGGAGAGGCACCAATGGGGACAGAGCAGACACTTTGGGGTGCACGGGTGTGGGGTCAAGGGTGGGCATGTGACATGGGGACCCAGGGGGAGGTAAGTGTGCTGACTCAGACAGGAGCTGGAGATGAAGGAGGTCCCTGTAGCCATGGAGGGAGGCAGGGTGGAGGGGCTCTGGCCTGGCCCTGGGCCTTCCTCAGTCTGCTTCTGCCTGGTTTCTACTTTCTGGGTGCTCATGAGAGTGCTGAAGCAGCAGCCTGGGGAACCAGAAGCTGCTGGACTSGGAGGTCCTGCTGAAAAGGCCTGGAAGTGGCTGGATTGCTGGTCTTACATGTTGTGTGGGCTTGGCAAAGAGGAAGCCGCCAGGAGGATGGAGTGGAGATTTGAGGTTCTTGACCTTGTTTACTGAGCACCCTGCAATCCTCTCGACTGAAGGAAGTTGGTTTTAATTTGATGTAAGGAAAATAAAGTAATTGAAATATCTTGCCAATGGAAGTTTGTGGACTATGATTCATATTCTCCACAATAGATAAAATGTTTAAAACTTTTGTCATAGTTTTGGAATGTGGTCCAAGAAACTGGTCAGGATTTTCCTGAGAAGGGAATTAGGGGGCTCTAGGGTGACTTTGGTCCCAGATTGCTGAGAACTGTCACAGAACTTCCTCAGTCCTGGGCCAACTAGGAAAGCTGGACATCTAAGGGAGTGTGTGTCTCTGAATGTCTCTCTGTGTGCTTTGTCCCATCTTTCACCTGCTACCCAGCCCCGAAAAAATAACATTAAACAAGTCCCCAAGCTGGGCCTGGTGGCCCATTCCTAAAAATCACAGGATTCTGGAGGCTGAGGTGGGAGAGTCACAAGTTTGAGGCCAACCTGGGCAACTTAGTGAGCCCTGTCTCAAAACAAACAAAGAAACAAACAAATGAAACACATAAACATACACACAAAAATGGCTAGGGATGTAGCTCAGTGATAAAGCACCTCTGGGTTCAATCCTCAGAACCAAAAATAAAATAAAACAAACAAGAGAAAACAAGTCCTCAGACTCCCAGACAGCAAAACAAAGACACCTCCCCCAAACAAAAGCAGAAACAAAAACCACTGTAAATAAATACTAAAGGGAAGTGAAAAACTGAGAGAAATAACCACATGTTAATATAAGAGAAAAGGAAACCTAATCTTTCATGAGCTTTGACAGGTCAACAGGAAGAGACAAGCATCTCAGTAGAAAACGACATGAACCAGAAATTAACAAAAGAATATAAATGGACACTATTCTCCTAATCCCCAAGAAATCAATATTAAAACAATAATCTTATATCAGGTTTTCTTCATTATGTGACCAAATAAGAAAAAACAATGACAGGGTAAATTGGTATAATTCTTGGAAGGGTATAAAAGTCTTAACAATTTTTGGTCCATTGACCCAGCTATTTCTTTTGCTTCTAGGAATTTGAAGGAGATAGGTTGTGTGGGTAAATATTTATGCATGGGATGCTGTTCACCTTGCTACCTGCAAGGCAAAGTCAACTCCGCTGGGTTACTTGGCTTCAGGGCTTTAGTTTCTAATGAAAATAGCAGCCATATAGAAACTTAGCAAGAATAATATAAAAATACCTGGGTTCCAGCCAGCCTGGTCCCATCTTAATTTGCTTTTTTTTTTAAAGGTGGGGAGTTGCTATGTTTCCAGGCTAACATTGAATTCTTGATCGTGCTGTCTCAACTTCCCGAGTAGCTGGAACTACTGGCACATATCCCTGTATCTGGCTACTGCTTCATATTTTTGAAATGATTAAACAGATAAAACATACAGAGAGGTACAGACCCTATGTGCCACTTTCTGGATTATGTTCTCTTCCTCTCCAGAATAAACAATAACCTAGATATAGGCATATTTTAATTTTACTGTGATTAAACACAAAATAATGCCACATAGTTTTATTTCACATGGTCTTTACAGAATGCTATCACATATGCTCTGATATTTGCTTTTATTTTTTGATCACCATTACTCTGAGGATTTATCCAAGCTGATCATGTAGCCTAGATTTTTTTTTTTCACTGCCATTTTGGTATTTCATTGTTTAGCTGCATGATAATGTGTTTGTTTTTCTATCGAAGTGTATTTTGGTTGGTCGTTGGCACTTCTTTGTGAGTACAGTCAGGGATGCAGTGAACTTCCTGGGCATGTTGGTTTGTGCACCTGGGGGAAAGCCACTGTCGGGTTATGAGGAGGAACATTTTTAAATTTAATAGACGGTTCCACATTTTCTTCCAGAGTGATACATTCATATACTCAAATAATAACTACTTTGCCTTTTCCTTCCTAAGCCATGTTCTTGTATTTCCTCCTCTTTCCTTACTGTGCTCACCTGTGCATCTGATCCAATGTCATCCAGTGATGACACTGAGCATCTAGTCTTGTTYTGGTTTTTAAAAGCAGGGTGGCTTACATTTTACTCTGTGAGGTTTGCTCTGTTTCTTCAAGTCAAGGATATTCCTTTCTTTCTTTTTTTTTTTTATAAAGTGTTTTTTTTTTTAAAGAGAGAGTGAGAGAGAGAGAATTTTTAATATTTATTTTTTAGTTCTTGGCGGACACAACATCTTTGTTGGTATGTGGTGCTGAGGATCAAACCCGGGCCGCACGCATGCCAGGCGAGCGCGTTACAGCTTGAGCCACATCCCCAGCCCCAATTCCTTTCTTTTTGTAAGTTACTAAAATGTTTTTGTTTTCTTGTTTTCTATGAATAGGTGTTGCCTTTTACTCAAAGCCTTTTCTTTTTCTTCCCCTGCCTCCCAAAGGGTTTTCTGCTTTTATTTATAATTCAATTATATTTATTTATTGTTTTATGCATTGTTTGTCTTTTCTTCTGACATCTTCTTGCTGTGTTTCATTTTCTTCTTTCTGAAGTACTTGCTTTAGTAGTTCTTTCAGAAAGGACTATAATGTTAAACCCATTGTTTTATGGGGGGAGAAAGACTCTAAGTTCTCTCTGAATGATGATTAAGCTATGTTGACTAGATGGCACAGCCCTTACTCCCACTGCCCTCTGACCTTAATTCTGTGTTTCTTCTAGACTACAGTGTCTGCATCTCTTTGCTACTGGCTAGAAGTGTTGAAGGGCTAATGCTCCCAGAAGCTCTCAACAGGACTAGGTGTAGAAATACCCTCACTCTCTTGACCTAAGAATGGAACAATTTTAGGGTCCATGTCTTTACTTCCCATATATTCTCCTCCCAGGATTCAGCTGCAGTTGCCCCTGGGTGGAGGGCTTAATAAACATCATTTACTTTTACTGGTGGCTTTCCCTTCTCCCTATCACATTTCCACTTTCCTGCTGCTGTTTCCTGCCTTTCCACATAATTATCTGCACTAAAACACTCAGGGTCTGCTGCTAGGGGCATTCAAAATAAGGCACTGTGTGCAGAATTCTACAACAATGGGTTTTTGCCTCACAGTGTTTCTCATGAAAGTTTTAGCGCAGGTGTTATCATGTGAGAAGCAGTGAGGTAGGCTTCCAGTTTTGGAGRGTTGCAGGGATTGAACTCAGGGGCCCTCAACCACTGAGCCACATCCCCAGCCCTATTTTGTATTTTATTTAGAGACAAGGTCTCACTGAGTTGCTTAGCACTTTGCTTTTGCTGAGGTTGGCTTTGAACTCGAGATCCTCCTGCTACAGACTCCTGAGCCCTGGGATTACAGGCGTGCGCCACCAAGCCCGATGTGGGGTTTCATTTCTAAACACTCTTAAGTCTTTGGCTGCTGGTCTTAGGGCTGGAAATCCCACTGTGAGGGTGTCACTTCCTGCCTTGCCTCTCTCTGCCCATGTAATTAGCTCTTTTAGCAAGAGTAGGTTGGCAGATGATGTTGAGAATAAGGTTTTTGGGAATAGGAGTTGGGAAGAGGGATCCGAGTGTGTTTGTGCATGTGTGTATGAGTAGTTACATGCACATGTGTATTTGCATATATGTATGTGTGTGATACGTGAGTAAGTGTACAACATTAGAGGAAGAATCAGTGTATCAGAAGTGAGGTAGAAGAGTCTTTGGAGGGCTGGGGGTGCAGCTGAGTGGCAGAGTACTTGCCTAGCATGTGCAAGTCTCTGGTTTCCATCCCCAGCACCACAATTTTTTTTTTTTTTTTTTTGGTGGGGCAGGAATATTAGAATCAAACCATCACTTCCACACCCATTATTTTACAAAGGCCTGGTCTTGTGACCAGGACCTTCATCTTTAACCTGTCCATTAAACGCTGGCCAGGACCCAGAGGGACTGTTTTTGTTGAGCGCCCCAGCTGGATGGTTCATACCTGGGTGGACAGGAAGTGTTAACGCGTTCCTTCCTCCCGCTCAGCAGCTAAGTTGGCTCAGGTTGAGGTGTTTTTCAAAATTCTCTGGAATCTCAGCCCTGGAAGCCAGGTCCAGAAGCCCTGTTGATCTAGCCTGATTTTCTCCCTGGCCTGGATCAGTCTGTCCTGGGGACACCAGTCCTCCTGGTTAGGCCTGTCTGTGTGGGCACTTGGGAGTTCCAGGGACCAAGCCTGGGGCTGGCGAGTGGGGGGCGTTCTGGGAGGGCAAGGAAGCTCATGAAGGCAGCTTCCAGGAGGTCTCCCTCTGAGCTGTTCAAAGCCTTATCCTCCTGGAGGTATTTCTAGTACTATTTCCTGTCATTGTTTCCCTTTGGTAATTAGAAGGAGGCCAGGGCCCTGATGTGGCAGCTCACAGCTATTGTGGTGGGGAAGGGGGGGTGGTTGGTGAACGTCACAGCTTGGGCTTTATCTCCCCTGGCTGCGGGGACTCTGTAGCCCCTGGACTACTTAACAGCAAAACAGGCCAGAGCTGCAGCAGATCCCTCCAGCCTCAGCAGCTGCTGGGAGAATGGCCTAGGGGTGGTGGCACCACTGAGCAGCGGCTGAGTTTCCTAAGGGATCTTGGAGACACCTGCAGCCCCTATTTGCAGGCAAAGGTATGATCTTTTGGAAGGAGAACTGATGCAGTTGTGGGAGAAAGATGCAGGGCTGATCCTTGCCCTGGGACCCTGGCTGGGTATCTCCATCTCTGGACTAGAAAGGTTTTTGTTTGGAAGGCAATTCAAAGACTGGACTATCCTAATGCCTCTTTGTCTTCTTGCCTCTGGGTATCCTGTGGCTGCTTTTCTTCATACAATTGGGTTTTACTTGTACTTTTCACTCAGACAAGCCTGGACCAATCTTTGCCCTCACCTCTGAGGTACAATACACCTGTGCATTGGGAGGGACCAATTTTCTGGGACCCAGGGCTGATGGGGTCCATTTATCAGYTGAACTTAGCAAACATTATTGAGCATGTCCTAGGTGCTGGCACCTTGCCAGGCTCTGGGGATGGAGGTGAGTGTGCCTCTGCTCTGGAGGCTCTCATGGCCCAGGACCAGTGATCAGTAAGCAATTAATTGGTAGTTCCTGCACCTTCTCTGGGTGCCCGTGGTAGCAATGAAAGTGTAAGACAGTTCTAGTTTCCCCATTTCTGCCAAGAGTGGAAGGACTTGGGTGTGCCTCTACTCTTGGCTATTGGAGCAAGGTATAGGGACATGAGAGGTCAGGATGCCCTGCAGGAACCAAGATGAGTTGACAGTGCTTCTCGCTTCTGTTTTGGCACTGAGACTGTTATCTGGGGAAGGGTGCTCAGGGGTGTGGCTCCCAGGAATTGTTACACTTGGGCCTGCATTGGCCTGGGGGCAGTTTTGGGACTAGTAACCCATGTTCAAATGAGAAATGGACCAATGGTGATCAGTTCTTTCCTTGCTTTAAGAAATTATTTTTCCTACTTTATGCATTGGCAGTAGCTTATACCAACAGCCATCTATGGGAAGTAARAACAGTTTATTTCTCTTGCTTCTCTGCAGATGATTCCTGCCAGACTTATAAGGGTGCTGCTTGCTCTGGTCTTTACATTGTCAGGTAGGTACTAAGTCCTCACTCCTGCCCCAGGGTCATTTGGAGTAACCCCCTTCTAGGAATCAGCAGGTGTGTCTGCAGGTCACCTTTGTGTGAGTCCCATGTTAGACGCACAGTGAGCCTTTCACAGTCACTGGTTGCCTCCTATGAAGATTCTGCAGAACCCCCTGCCTCTGACTTGTATTCTTCAGAGACCAGATGCCTGCAAATACCTTCCTCTTGTAGAAAAGATAAGCATGCACAGAATCATCCTATATAATGGAAGCACAGGATGGGAAAGAAGGAATTAAATTCTTAGAGGGTTAGTCTCAGAAGGAATTGTAGAGGTCATCTAGTGAACGTTTTATGGTATAGATGAAGAGACCGAGGGTCAGAGAGGAGAAATTATTGCTTTAAAGTCATGCAGAGCCAAAACCAGAGATCATTTCTCTTGGGTTCCCAGCCTGCTCTCTTCCTATTATACTATTTTTCTTCCCTTGCTGAAATTTTGAGATTGTGAATGGTAGGGAAGGACTTTTGACCTGGAGTGTCTCCATTTAGATAGCTCAGGTTAGTAGCATCCAGTCTGCTCCCCACAGATTAGTCTGTAATGAAATGTACACTTCTCATGTTCTTTGCATGTTTCTGCCAGGTGGATGGTGTCTTAGTGAGGGAGTCARCTCTCGAGAGAACTTTTACCATTTCACAACTCTGACAGGCGCACAGTCTGATCTGTCTAAAGTTTAATCTGCTCAAAATATAATAGTAGATATGTAGAAAGATGCTCATTGCCATCTCTTTATAAGAGTAAAATATTTGAGAAAATGCTAAGAACCAAATAATAAGAAGTTATCCTTGATACATTTAGATGTAGAATGTGAAGTAGCCACTAAAAATCACATTTTAGAAGTATATACAATGGCACAACAAATTCTTTACAATATATTGAGAAGTAAACATGGTTTGTAAATGGTTTTGCACAGGATGATCACAAATTTGTAATAAATCACAACTGTATATATGCTATAAAGTAGAACAAAAAGGCAAACGCTTACTCTAGTTATTGCTGAATGTCAGATCACAGATAATTTTTAACTTCTTTGTGTTTTCTTCTGTATTCTCAAAATTTTCTATAATGGGTATCATTACATTTGAAATCAGTAAGTAATTAAGTCATTAAAATGAGCAGAGTTAAGTCATTAAAATGAGTAGATTTCCTGAAAAAATGTTCCTCCATTACTGCCACGAGTTCTGGGCCGTATTCCAGGACTGAAAGCAATAGCTTTATTCTTATTTGGGATGGAAAATACTTCCCCACAGCCCAGTTTCCCTCAGATTTTAGCCTCATGAGATTGGAGAGATTTGGGATGATGGTTCCAATTTTGCTCACCCTTGTCCTTTCCATCTAGACACCCTCTGCAGAGAAAGGGCCAGTGGCCRGCCATCCATGGCTCGGTGCAGCCTCTTTGGAAGTGACTTCATCAACACCTTYGATGAGAACATGTATAGCTTTGCAGGAGTGTGCAGTTACCTCCTGGCCGGGGACTGCCAGGAACACTCCTTCTCGATTCTTGGTAAGTACYGGGCACTGAGGGCAGGAATTCAGAGAAGGGGCCAGCTGTGCTCAGCCCTGGCATGCAGGGAGGGTTCCAATTCTCAGACACGCCTGAACTCAAACATCACTGCTGAGAGTATGGTGGGGAGCGCCCTTTCTATGACACCCGGCTTCCTTTGGCTTCTCCAATYTCTCTCCATGGAAGCCTGGTGGAATAGAGAGAAACTTTGGGCTTCTTTAGTGGTTGCAGCCAACAGGTCCAGGCAGTGCCTCAAGAGCTACAAAGCATCAAGAAAAATGATGATCTAGAAGGAACTTTGGAATACATAAAATTCCTTGAAACAGGAAATAATAATTTTCTCGGTGGCATGTGGAATTCAGAGTTTCTAGCTGATGTTGCACATCTCTTGTTCCTAGAAATGCCCTGGTTCTGCCCCCATGTTCTCTCTGGGTCCCCACAACAGCTCTAGAATGTGAATAATGTCACCCCTGTTTTACAAATGGAAGAACCAAGGCCCAAGGATGCTGTATAATTCTCCCCAAAGCCTGACAGAAAATAAARGGAGGAGCTGGATTTAATCTTGGGCTTCTCCTTCTTCCTCTCCACTAAAGAGAGAGGGAAGTTTCCAAGGCTGGGAGTGGGGCTGGGGGCATTGATGAAGAATTATGATTTGGTGACTTCCATACTAAGACTCAATCAGCTGTGAGGTGTGAGGAAGGGATGCTACAAAGCCAAGCAAAAGAGGGTCCTCTTTGGGGAGCTGAGGTGGCAGCTGACACAGATCCAGGCCATTAAAGAAAAATTCATGAAACTTCTTAAAACAATAAGAAAGACCTTACATTTCAAGGGGCACTACTGCAAATCCACCTCCAAATACGAGGAAAAGTGGAATTTAGATCCAAGGAGGGTTGGGTGGAAGTCAGTGACAGAGGAAATGTCAAGGTAAGGGTTTTTTTTTGGCTAAACCAACTTGACAGGAATCTTACTGAAGGCAGGCCAGGGTGATCAGATACTGAGGTTGGGGATAAGGAATTTGATCATATACAGAAGGTAAGGGATTTTGGCTAAACGGACTCAGTGGCAATCAGGACTAAGTGAGTCAAGGACAGATCCTAAGGTCAGGACTAGTCTAGAAGATRGTTCAGTGGGACCTGACTCAAGTTTGGTCAAGGAAGAGATTCTTTTTGCTACACTTATGCCTTTCCATGATGTATAAGTTGAAGGGTTCTTGGGGTTATTACTCCATCAGCCATGGAGTGGATCCATGCAGTGTCCTCTGTGCCCAGCATGCAGTAGGCTGTGTTTGGGAGCTCAGTGAGCTGACCATGGTCATGACTGTAAGTGTCCCCTGCTTCTTAGCTGCTCCCTCGGGCCATCTCTGCCACCYGCCCTGCACCTGCTGGATACCCTATCACAACATGGCTTCCGTGTCCTGCCATTCTTCCCATTTCTTTGTGAGTCCCTCAAAGACAAAAGCTATGCCTTGCTCATCTTTGTTTCCTGGCACTTCGCTCCGTGGGGTTTCTGTCAATATTTACTGGTGTTGGGGACCTAAGGAGCAAGGTGCTCTGTTGTATCAAAGAAAGATGTTTACAAGAGTGGGTGGCGTCTGAGGATCCTTGGGTAATGGGGCTTTGGTTGGGTGAAGAGCACAGGGGAGGGTGCTTCACACAGTGGAGACAGCATGAGCCCAAGAGGAGAGGCTGGAAGAATGTGTGCTCATGAGGCGAAACCCGTGGTGGAGTGGTTTCCAACTGCAGCCGGCATGGTGACCGCCTAGATGGCTCTAATACAAGGTTGCTGGGCTCCACCTCCAGAGTTCTGACTCAGTACATTTGGAATGGGGCATGAAATTTTTATTTGCTAACAATTTCTTAATCGCTGCTGCTGGACTAGGGACCAAACTTTGAGAAGTCCAGGAATGGAGTAAGTCTGGGACACCGTGAGGCTGCAGGGCAGGGTCCTGGAGTCTGATGGAGGGAGAGTTGGCTGCATTCAGCGGCTGGGAGGAGTTAGGTAGAGTCTCTGCAGTGGGGAAGGGTCAAAGGGACTGGTGCCTTCCAGGAAGGGAAGTGGGAGGCAGGGTAACCAAGCAGGAGGTAAAAAGGACCAGAGACATCCCCTGGGACCTGACACCACATGGAACACTGGGTTATGGAACCCAAGTTTGCTTCAGAGGCAGCASCTGGGGACTGGCTTGGAAAAACAGCTGACAAGAAAAAGGTCCCCTCCTCCACCAGGAAGCGGAAGGTGCTCGCTCACCAACCTCCCGTGGCTCCATTGTTTATTTTGAGTGGATTTCTGCACCTTAACAATCATTGTGGAGATGGTACAGACCCTTTACTGAGATGACTCTGGGGGKGTGTGTTGGGAATGGAGGGTTAGGAAGGTTTTGAAAGAAGAGATAATGACATGTCTCCACCCTGAGTGAAGTTTGCAGGGAGGGTGACACTGGTACCCTGGAGGGGCTTGCTGTCTTGACTCCATGATCAGCTTTAGCTCAGTCCTGCTGTGGTCTCCCTAGCCCAGAGGCGGGTTAGTAAACAGTACATAATGAAAGCTTAGGACCAGGCCTAGAGTCTACATTCTGGGCTCAGGGAGCCCAGCCAGCATATTGGAAAAGTCCCTTTCCCTTGTGTAAGCCCACCTCCAGAGCCCTCTCCTCTTAAGGAGCCCTCAGAGGCAGGAAAATTCAGGTACCTCCTCCTGTTAGCCCCCTTGACCACACTGGCCCTGTCCAGCACTCGACATGTCAACTTATGCCCACTGACTAGTTTATAACCCCCAGCACTTGGAGGCTCTGCCTCCAGCAGGAAATGGAAGCATGGAAAGAGCTATAGTTGGAGCCGACTCCATTCCCTCTCTGCCCTGAGTGCCCTTGGGGAAGTGGCAGAGTGTCTCTCAGCCTTCATTTCCTCTTCTCTAAAATGCAGAGCCTGTGAGGCTCACGTGAGATGAAAGCATTTGCAAGTGTGAAGTGTTATCTGAACCTGAGTTATTGAAAGCAGCCAGATGCACAGAAGCTTGTTGGGTATGCACATGGCGGAGACACAGGGCCACCAGGCTCTCGGGGCGTTTCTCTGGACCGCAGTTTGACAGCTATGGGAATCTTCCACGACACAGTYCATGCAGGTTTGTACCAGAGGCCTGGCCTCCAGCCACCCATTTCTGGGTGTCAGTGGCTGGGGCAATTTGAAGGGATGGAGAGGGCCACCCTACTTCCGAAAAGCTCATTGCAAGGCACCCTCCCACCCCCCACCCAGGGTCATTGTTTTCTTATAGCAATTTACTCTTATTGAATGTCGATTTTCTGGGAGGTTATTGGCCTAAACCAGGCTATTTAATATATGTTGGTTTCATTTATACTCAAAATTGTGCTGATAACCTGAGAAGAATTGGGTGGCTACTTTTTCTGAGTTGGGGTGATTGTAGGAGGAGGTGGTGTCAGAAGGGAACTAATCTGTGGAGCCTGGGCCTGTGCTGGAGCTTGGAGTAGGCAGCATCCTGGGGTCAGGGGAAGGAACCCAGACCTTGGACCATACAGTTTTAGTTCACAGGCCCATGTTCATCTTCTGCTCCATTGTTCTCCAATGACATCCTGTTTCCTCAACTCTAAATTGAAAATAATTCCCATTCCTCTCTGGGTGCCGGTGCATCTTGTTCACATCCTGGGTAGAGTGTTTATGTCCCTTCATGAAGGCCCACCTGGTGCAAAGCGGAGGGCCTTTCCTTGATTCCTCTCCCTGGTCAAGCGGCTCTGGGCTTCCAGGCCAGAGCTCACATTTTCTAGTCAATGGGCCCAGGATCCAGAGAGAGTTCACAGAGTCCTGGTTCCTCCTGCCTTATAGAGACTCTTCTTCCTAAGCCAAGGCTGCAGGGTTCGATGGCCTCCCAAATCAACCCAGGGAGAGCCATAAACAACTACTCGCTGGCTGAGTCATTTCTGTAGGGGGAACCTCAGTTTCCGAGTTAGCAGAATGGCATGGTCTCAGTAGATCATTGTTCTCCAAGTGTGGACAGAGGATGACCTGCATCAGAATCATGGGCAGGGGTGGGGAATGTTTGTTAGAGATGCAGATTAACGAGTTCTGTACTATAGCCCCAGGATACCCTAGTTCTAGCTTCTGGCTTGCTTTAGAAAGTAACAGGGTGCCTCTTGCTCCCACATGTGGGGTTGGGGGCCAACTGGCTCACTCAGCACCCTTATCCCTGAGTTCAAGGGGCCAGGAGCCTGGGGAGGCCTGGCTGGTTGTTTTTCCTCCTGGATGGACACACAGACTCTTCCTTACCTAGCGGTGATAGGAAGAGCTAACAGGGAGGTCTGTGGAATGTGGGAGTTGCTGCCCATTTCTAATGGTTCATTTTCCTAATGGATTTGCAGTAAGGGAAAGAAGTAAATAAAACAGAGGTTGATATGGAGTTCTCCCGTGCATTAGTGACTTACTCAATCCACAGCCGTCAGATGTCCCATTAGGTAGCTTTGCTGCAATAGAAGATTGGATTTGGAGTCAGAAAATCTGGGTGTGGGTTCTGCTCCAGGTGTAAAATCACTCAGTTGGGGTGATTTCTTTTTCCTCAGAGGACATTTGGCAGTGTCTGGAGACATTTTGGGTGATTATAACTAAGTGACATGCTGTTGGCATCCAATGATAGGGGTCAGGATGCACAGATGGCCCCCACAACAAAGAAGTATCTATCCCTAAACGTCAATAGTGAGAGGGTGGAATCCTGTCTGAATCTCAGTTTCTCCTTCTGTAAGATGGGGTCAGTCTAGGTCAGTGTTTTTCAAACTGAGTCACAAGTCACGGTCCTAACCAGCACTGCAAAAACTAAACAAAATAATAGAAAACATCATGACATTTCAGAGTTCATGGCACGTGCTAAGGGCAGATGTGTGAAAGTTCTGCAGACTTTGGTCTGTGTGTGTGCATGTGCGTGTGTGTGCGTGTATGCATGTGTATACCTTGTATGCATGCCTAGGGACCTAGAAGACTCCTGGGAGGCATTGCAAACCGGAGTTTGTTACCAGGCTGTCCTGTCTATTTGTTTGTTTATTAACAAATAAAAGTATTTAAAATAAATAATTTTACCATTGTATTGTGGAAATTTTCAAACATACAGAAAAGTTGAAGGAATACAACATTATTATACCCACCACTCAGATTCCGTCGTTACTGATTTCCTCTATTCACCTCCCATTTACCACTTCAGTTCTGTTTGGTTTTCATTGGTTAATTTCCTGCTCTCAGAAAGTTTGTTTGACTTCTGAAGATTTGTTTGCTGTAAAAACTGTTCTAAGTGAAAATGCAGAGTGGGCCAGACTCCCCAGTTTAGACAGGTATAAAAGGACTAAATTGCAACAAATTTAGTTTAAAGATCTTAATTGGCTCTATTTATAATTCTAGAATCAGGTAACACTYCATTCTGTAGACTACAATGAGTGTTCCTAAGAACCGAGCAGAAGAAATTGATTTTATAGACAGAAGGGTTAAGGAAAGCAGAAATAGAGAATAAAAGTGGATTGGTTCTTTCAAAGTTACTTAGCTTGTGGAGATTAAAGCAGCTACAACTGGCCCATTCGGGAATTTGGCTTCTCCCTGCAGGCCTCCCCCGGACATTCTGCTTTCCCAGAATGCCAGAGAAACACCTTAGTTTTGGTTTGGTGGACATAGAACTTTAGCATGAGAGACTTCATTTTGGTTTGGTCTCAGTCCAAACCAATAGTCTCCTTTATGTTTTGTTCAATACAGGACAAAATTCCTTTAACCTATATGACACCTGGGTTTTCTCCTGGAAAGCACTGGTGTGGAGTTCTGCAGACTGTGGTCTGTGGATCTTCTCTGCCTGGCTGGGAGTGAGGAGACCTTCCCTAACTGGACTTACCAGTGGTCCTGGTCATGGCAGCAACACCTCAAATCAAGAGATCGTCCTGTTTTCTGAGCTTGATTCCACAGGCATCCTTGCCTCTTTTGCTGAGGAATTAGAGCCCACCCTTCCAGTTCCTCCTAGAAGAAGATCAATCTCTTCATCATTTCCAAGGCTAGTCTGGAAATCATGGGTCCTGTGTTCCATACCTTCAGGACCTCTAAGACACTGTGCCCCCATGTCCGACCTCTGTCTTCACTGACTGCCCTCCATCTCCCCTCTTTCCTCCACCAGTTCTAAGTCTCCAAGGCTTGAGACTCAGACTCTCAACTGACCCTTTGGGCTCCTTCATCCCTAGGGCCAATCCATTGTCTTTGGTCAACAAGGGCCCAGCCCAAGACGCAGTTCTCAGAGACCAGCTGTGGAAGCTTAAGCTTTGATAACGCTATGGAAAATGCCTCATCAGTTTTCTGTCTTTTCGTGCCAGCTGCCCTTACCCTTGTCCCTGTGTTTGTCCCTCACCATGAGACCATCGACAGAGTCTATTTTATGATGTGTTTGACCATTCAAACATCTCTAATGGCAATACCCATGGTTTATTGAATCCTTACTAAGATTCTCTGCACTGTGGGTGGCAATTTATCTACACTGTCTCTAAACTTCTAGAGAATCAAATGTGGTAAATTGAGGAGGGGCTCATGAATCTCCATTTTAAACGAACAGCACAGAGATTCTGATTTGGGCTCTCCTAAGATTGATATTTAATTAGTTAATTAAATTCCGGGGATGGAACACAGGGCTTTGTGCAGGCTAGGTAAGTGCTCTGCCACTGAGATATACCCCCAGCCCCCAAGATAACGTTTTAAATGACATTATTTTAGAATACCTATTACCAACAACCGGGACTCTTGCTTCTGTTTGCTACTTGACCGTGTGATCAATTGCTGAATGCTTTTCTAATCTTTGTATCTAGATTGTGAAAAGGTCTCTAGTAGTCATCATTGAGGTCACTGTTAAGTGATCAAGCTTTTATAGTTTTCTTTTGTGAAGTGTAAGACAATTGAGATCTATGTATCCAGAAGGCACCCCATAAGAATTTTTAGATGAATGGAAAGATGAGTGAATAAATGAGATTTTAAAGGTGATTTCTGTTGCCCATTTTAAAAGTCTTTTTTGGGGGGAATTCTCCACTGAGATAAGATTATAGAGGTAATAGTATTAATACATTTATTACTTTTGGGAGGGTTATAATCACTACTACTCCTCTTTTCTCTTTTAGGGGACTTCCAAAATGGCAAGAGAGTGAGACTCTCTGTGTATCTTGGGGAATTTTTTGACATCCATTTGTTTGTCAATGGTACTGTGATGCAGGGGGACCAAAGGTAAGTCAGAAGTGCAGAATGTCCAATTTGAAAGGACCCTGGGGATTCCCTGGCACAAGCCCTCGTGTTTCAGATGAAGAAGCTGGGGCCCAGGGAGAGGAAGAAAACGTACTCAGAAGTGAGTAGCAGGGCTGGGCGAGAGCCTCAGCCTCAGCCTCAGCCTCAAAAAGTGAATGAGCTAGAACCTCATTCCCTTTGTGCCATCGTCTGAACCTTGTAGCGTGGGCTTGGAAGGGTAGAGAGATGTCCCGAAAATGCACGAGAAGCCTAGTACTGAACATGTTCTCTACTTTCCAGAATCTCCATGCCCTATGCCTCTAAAGGGCTGTATCTGGAGACTGAGGCTGGGTACTACAAGCTGTCCAGTGAGGACTATGGTTTTGTGGCCAGGATCGATGGCAGCGGCAACTTTSAAGTCCTGCTGTCAGACAGACACTTCAACAAGACCTGTGGGCTGTGTGGTGACTTTAACATCTTTGCTGAAGATGACTTTAGGACCCAAGAAGGTAAGGTTTTCTGGGCTCCATTTCCCTAAAGTGTGGTTATGCTTTTTACCTCCCTACTTACAGACTCTCACTAATACTCCTCCCCTGGCATTCACGCCCCGTCATGACCTCACCTCAATTTATTTTGCCAATCTGCTCTGTTAATATTTCACCTCAGTGCCTAGATACCCTGGTCAACCTACAACTTCGAGCCTCTCAAACCTGACTTTGTTCAATTTTGAATTCCCCATAGAAATAGGGGAATCACATGTGGTAGATGGTTGGAAAATACTGGAAGGTTTGAGTAGACCCTTCTGAACCCACTACGATTGAATAGATGAAATCTGTAGAGTGAGCCTCCACACTGTCCAGAAAGGCTAGTTATCTAGGCCCGGTGGTTCATACCTGTAATCCAAGCGACTCTGGAGGCTGAGGCAGGAGGATCACAAGTTTTAGGCCAGCTTCAGCAAGACTCTGTCTTAAAAATAAGACAGGGGCTATAGTTCAGTGGTAAAGCTCTCCCAGGTTCAATCCCTACAAAAACACCAAAAAGCCTAGTTTATGTATGCTTGTGAGCAACAGAAGATAATATAGATGTGAAATCACTACTAATCTTTTTAATAATTTTAATTCCATAAACATTCAGTTAGTGATATTCCCTTGTAAAAACAACCTTTGTATATAAATTATTCTCTTCCTTATCATGTATCTACCTTCTGATTTAGGGGAAAACATGCAGAGAAAACAGTAGAGTGAAAAATAATAAGGTCGTTTGTTTTTATCTTCTCTAGCACTGATTTCTCAACCTTTTTATTATCCAATATGTAAACTTTAGGCTATCAGTTTTCCTTTAAATATCACTTTAGCTGCACCACACCAATTATTTTAATATATAACACAGTTTAATTTTTGTGTAGTAAAATACATTTTCCTACTTTCCATTTTGAGCTCTTTCTTAACCTGTAGTGTGTTTAAAATTTCCAAATGTTTAGAATTTTTAAGGTAAATTTTTGGTAACAAAATTGATTTCTAAATTAAATTAGCAACTTGTGGAGGCTTATTTGTAGCTAGTACTTGATCTTTTCTTAAAAATGTTCTATCTATGCTCAAAAATAATGTATTTTCTGATTGGTGAAGGAGTCCATATTTGTTTGTTGAATTAGGTTTGTTAATTGTGATGTTAAAATCTTCTATATGTTTACTACTGTTTGTCTGCTTCATCTACCAGTTACTAAGAAAGCTGTATATATATTTTTTACAATATTGGTAAATTTTGTCAATTTCTTGTAATTCTGTCAAATTTTGCTTTATACATTTTGAGTGTTTGTTTGCTATTAACTTTTAGAAATATTACGTCTTTCTAGTGAATTGCTCATTTACATAATGAACCCATTATTTATATATTTTAATTAGCCCTTTATAGTTATACATAGGAGTTGGGCTCATTTTGACAACTCATCCATGCATGGAAATTGATTTCAGATCATGATCTCTCCCCTTTCCCTCCTCCCCTCCATCTCCTCCTGTATTCTCAGCTGTACTCTACTAGACTTCCTTTCATTTTTAACAATGCCTTTTGCCTTGAGACCTGATATTAATATTGATACTCTACTTTTTTATGTGGTTAGTGGTTGTTTGATATATCTTTTTTTTTGTACTTTGAATTGTTTTGTGTGATTTTGTTTTAGATGTGTCTCATGAAAGTTGCATGAAGCTGGATTTATTATGTGTTTTAAAAATGGCTATTAAGGTGCAGTAAAATTCACCCTTTCAGTGTGTACTACTCAAATGCCTCATGTCCTTTTGTAGTCGAACTTACCCACAATTCTTAGCCCCTGGTAATCACTGACCTTTTTTCCTCCCGTGTTCCTATAGTTTTGATTTTTTCCAAATTTTTTATAAACATAGTAATTTGATATTAAGCATTCTAAGTCTGGCTTCTTCTYATTAACATAATCCATTAGAGATTCATCATGTTGAGTGTATCAATAACTTGTTCCTATTTATTGCTGAAGAGTAGTACCTAAATTTGGTTATCTATTCACCAAAGAATACTTTGTTTCCAGTGTTGGGGAATTATGAATGAAGGCACAGATGTCCCTCAAATTTAATTATAGTACAATACACATAACAAAATTGACTATCTTAACCATTTAAAATTTTTTTGTAGTTGTAGATGGACACAATGCCTTTATTTTATTTGTTTATTTTTATGTGGTGCTGAGGATAGAACCCAGTGCCTTCCGCATACTAGGCAAGCGCTCTGTTGCTGAGCTACACAGCCCCAGCCCTTAACCATTTTAATGTATATAGTTCAGTGACACTAAGTACATTCATATTGTTGGGCAACCATCTCTACTATCCATCTCCAGAACTTTTCATTTTGCAAAACTGAAATGTATCCATCAAACAGTAGGTCCCCATTCTTCCCTCCCAGCCCTGGAAACCACCACTTTACTTTGGTCCCTATGATTTTGACTACTCTAAGTACCTTATTAAGTGGAATCATGCAGTATTTGTCTTTTTGTAACTAATTTATTTCACTTTTCACAATGTCCTTAAGGTTCATTTATGTTGTAGCATGTGTCAGAATTTTATTTCTTTTTATGGCTGTCTAACATTCCATTGTAGGTTTATACCAAACTTTGCATATCCTTTCACTCATCAGTGGAGATGGAGTGCTTCCACATTTTAGCTATGGTGAATAATGCTGTTTTGAACATGGGTATACATGTATCCCTGCAGACCCAGCTTTCAATTTTTGTGGGGTTCTACCCAGAAGTATAATTTTATTGTATGTAAATTATATCCATATGGTAGTTCTGTTTTTAATTTTCCTCCCAGTACTGGGGATTGAATCCAGGGATGCTCTACCTTTGAGCCATATCTCTGGCCCTTTGTATTTTTTAAGTTTGAGACAGGGTCTCACTAAATTGCCCCGGCTGGCCTTGAACTTGTGATTCACCTGCCTCAGTCTTCCAAGTCTCTGGAATTCCAGGTGTGCACCACTACATCTAACTAGTCTTTAAAATTTTAGGAAGCCATCATACTGTTTTCTGAGTGGCTGTGCCATTATACACTCCCACCAAGAGTGCAGAGTGTTCTGATTTCTCTGCATCCTTGCTAGTGTTTATTTTTTGTTCCCATCCTTATCGGTGTGAAGTGGCATTCATGAATAGGGTTTGTCTATAGACATATGCTTTAATTTCTCTGGGTAAATATCTAGTACTGGGATTGTGTTTTTCCATCTCTCTTTATCCTTCTGTATTGCTTTTTGGGTGGTTTACTTAGGTCATACGCTGTACTCATGGTGGTTGCTGAGAACCAATTGTGTGCATCTCTTCCCAACTCCACATTCAGTAACATCATGTTGGTAACACCATGGAAATCAGCAAGTGCTATAAACTGGGGTTTTGCTTTCCCTGGAGAGTTGCTTTGTCACCACTTTACTAAGTAGTAAGTAGATCTAAGTAGATCTGTCTTCTAGTTCACTAATTCTCTCTTCACTCTGCCGAATTTACAGATGATGTTTATTCTGTCAATTGAAGTTTAACTTTATTTTATTGTCTATGCTTTTAATCTTAGAAGGTAAATCTATTTTTCTTTTCAGTTATTTTTTCTTGTCATGTTCTTTTATTAAGTTTCAATTTTTATAGCCATAATCTAAAATATATTTGTTTTAAAAGTTCTATATAAAAATTTCATTATCTGAACTTTTTGGAGCTCAGTCATGCAAATTTTGGATCTGCTGACTCTTGTTTATAGTGGATTGTTTCCTGTTGTTACAGATGGCTCAGTCCAGGGAGCCTGCCTGGATCCCTATGGGTTGGATTCGACAGGAGGTCCACATAAGAGATAGACAAAAGATGTAAAAATGAATAATGAACTTACTTTATGCTTTATACTTCAGTTTTATCAAACCAGGGAGAAGCAGCTAGATTGCTTCTCTCTGCCCGTCTCACAGAGACAATTACAATTTATAGAAACAAAAGCTAGGTGAAATGCATAATGTAGAGCTCTTTAGCTTATGTTAGACGGGCTTGAGTGGGCACTCTCTGTGCCTTCTTCTTTGGCACCTGTGAGGGTGAGGGGTAGAAGCCTTTCAGCTTCCTTTCTTAGCAGGAGGAATGTGTTGACATTCAGTCTGTTTCACTGTGCTTCATAATTTTGGATTGTGAGCTCATCTTTTGAAGGTTTTCATTTGTCAATGTGAAGTTACAAGAAGTAATCTTACAAGAAGTTTAAATTGGAATCTTACAACTATATGAAAGCTTTCCTACCACTGTCAATTTTCMGGGGAGACTTTTTTTCCCTCCTATCCAGAGACCAGATCAAGAAAACAGACATCCACTCTGCTTCTCAGAGTGGGTTTTTTTTCTTGTCAAGTTTTTTTTTTTTAAATGTTTTTGTAGTTATAGATGGAAAGGGTGCCTTTATTTTATTTGTTTATTTTTATGTGGTGCTGAGGATCAAACCTAGTGTCTCACACATGCTAGGCAAGCACTCTGCCACTGAGCTACAGCCCCGGCCCTTCTTGTCAACTTTTGCATGCTTCAAGGGTCTCAGCTTTACAATGGGATCTTGGGTCCATCTCCCCACCTCATGCAAGTCCTGGACTCACTTCCACTTCAGTGGAGCTGTTGAAACCCCAGCCTCTTGGTTGGAAAGGTTGCCACTTTCACTCTTGTACTCTGCAGTCAGAACATTTGCCAGTTCTATTTTTTAATTTTCTCTCTTCTCCTTTCTTCCCTCTTCCTTTCCATCTCTTTAAATTCCTTCTATTTTTGTAAGCTTCTCCATCAATTCAGTATGATATTTGTCCATTCTACTAGCATAGTTTTCAGATTTTTCTCATCTGCTATATTGCTGGAAATGGAAGTTCCAACCATAAATATCTTTTTTTTTCTTATTCTAGGCTTTTAAGGTTGAAAAAATTAACAGTGGGTCCTAGGCTATGAGAAAGAAGGTAGTATTTTTTGGCAAAAAAATCAAGGCTATGGTGATGTTTTGGGAATCATCCTTAGAGGATGATTTAGTTTAATTCTTTTTGGTCAGTAAAACTCAACAATATTTGTCCCCAAAAYAGTTAACCTTGCTCCCTGACTTCTGGGAGTCTGCCAAGCTTGGCTTTAACTCTGTCTTTCAGAGAGTTTTCTCTAAACAAAAGTATTTGTAATTCYGTATGTTGGACAGCYTCATGCTGTCCAGATTTAGTTGATGAAGTGAAACTTCATAGGTGGTCAGGGCTAACCGGGATCTGAGATCACCCACCTCAACTCCTCAGTTACATATGGGAACTAGGCTCCATGGGATGATGGGATCAGCCCAGATCACAGAGTGGTGGAAGGAGCTTCATCATCCAAGTAAGCTCCTTCTCTACCTCTTTCTTTAAGATGGTTTATTAGAAAGTATCCAAACCTGTGTGGTATGGAGTATCTGAGTACCAAACAGTACATARTATATGGGAGAAGTCAAATGGAAAAGAACTGAAATGTGTGGAGTGCCACCATGTGCCAGGCAGTCCCTAGGCACTCAGTGAGTCTGATGTCCATGCCCTGGGGAGCCCTACTGAGCACTGTACCAAAGGTACTCTCCACCCCAAATACCTAGGGTCTAATCTAGCAGAAGTTAGGTCAAGATAACAACAGACCTAGAGCTTTCACTCAGAAGTCCTGGGACAGGCATAACTGAAGCATAATTTTTTTTTTCTGAAACTTTGCTTTGCAGGGACCTTGACCTCTGACCCCTACATTTTTGCCAACTCCTGGGCTCTGAGCAGTGGGGAACAGCGATGCGAACGAGCATCTCCTCCCAGCAGTCCCTGCAACAGCTCCTCTGGGGAAATGCAGAAGGTGGGTATAGCTTGGCCTGGATGTGGCCTGGATGATGGATGACTCCTGGAATTAAGAGGCAGCAGGACTTGGGTTCATGCCCTCCCTCTGGGGGAGGAATGGCCTTACCTATAAGTGCTGCTGGTTTGGCTCTTCAATGTGGGACTCCTACACTGAGAACTAACTATGGCTAGAGTTTAATCAAATCTAATTCTAATACTTTCCTGGCCGGGAACTCTACAAACGGTTCTGGGCTAATGATTAGGTTATAGTGAGTATCTTAGTATACTTAAAATATGCTGCTATCACAAAATGTCTGAAACTAGGTAACTGACATTTATTTATTATAGTTCTGGATGACAGAAAGTCCCAGATCAAGGTGCTGGTATTCAGTGTCTGGTGAGGGCAGTCCTGCTCTGCCTCTCTATAAAAGAAGAGCAAAAAGGTGTTGCTCAAGTTATTCCACTGGTGGGTCCTTGTGTTTCTCTTCAGGAGTTGGGCTCCACAGGTTCTTAAGTTGGCTTAAGTTCTAAAACTCTTTACTGTGTTTCTGTGGATTGGGAAGATAGTATATAATCAAGAAATATTCAATGAGTTGGATGATTACAAATTAGGGGGTGTTATCGAAGGATTGTAATGACCTCCCAGTAATAATACAGAATCCTTCACTTGTAGAAATCTGATTCACCCACATGTACACATAAGTAGAGAAGGTCAACCCTCTCCTATTCCAGAAACCAAGTAATTCTGCCCCTGCCCCCCTTAGCATGAGAAAGCCTCATTATTAGTTGGTTACTCATCCAATGGATCTTCTTTATTTTCCTGAAACATTTTGAACTTCTGAACCAAGGAGTTATATTTATCAAGTCCAGGAAAATATCCTGGGTTGATGCTAAATCCAGCCACCTAAATTGTTAATACAGACAATTCCCAACTTGTAAACAAACACATTCCTGAAGACTTTTTTTTCCTTGGGTGATTCAGTGCTAGTCCTCCAGCTAGTYTCTGAAAGTCTAGATCCCTTGGAACATAGCCCAGAACAAGGCAAACTGAGATGAGGGTGCTGTCCTGTGCAAGCAGGGAGTTTCCTCTTTTTCCAGTTTGAAAAGTCTGAAGCTTGCCCTTGACAGATCCTTGAGTTTCTCTCACCCCTGGGCTYGGCATTGTGCTAAGGGTTGGGTTTGGATCAGGCCATTTACTGACTTTGTAACTCTAGGTGAGACACATGCCTTCTGCACAYTTTTCCACCCATGTAAAACAGGCTAGGAATTGTTCCTGAGAAAAGTCATTTGTGTTGAATGGTTTCAGGTTGTTCAGCGGGGCTCATTGTTTGGGCTGCTATTATTATTGTTATTATTAGGTGACTCCTAGTGTCCTCCAGTAGTCCCTTATGTCATACTGGGGTGCCCAACCTTTCAGAGTGGGAATGGGGAGAGCAGATAGCACACATTGTACTTTAGGTATAAGCTACACAATTCATTCTTTTTTTCCTCTCCTCCTTCCAATTATAACCAGTTTCCTCTTAGGTAGCTGAGCCCAGCTCGAGGTCAGAAGGAACACAAGGTGTCTAACATCTGCACATGCAGGTGGGCAGGCGACAGAAACCCACCTTTCCTCTAGAATAGATTATTTACCCAGATGAATTCAGACTGAGTGCACCCCAGATGTCACGTGCAGCAAGGAGGACAAGGCCTTTTTAATAATTTCTTTCTCTCTTTATTTYTAAATTTACAGTTCTGTTGTTAGCTGGTGGGTCTTTCTTTTCTGCCCTGTTCTCTAGGTAGGGGGTGAGGTTAGCAGGCCTTTGAGAGCTTATTAGATTTTGCAAACACAGGCCAGCTCAGGGTAAGTACTTGACAAATGTTCCCCACCCTCCTGAATACAAAGGGATAATCTCATTTATCCACATGAACTGGGAGGCGAAGAAGACAGGATTCTCAAGTAGAGAACCTGATACCCAGTAGGTCAGGTGGAGGAGGGAGACAAAGGGGAGGGAGAAATCTAAGAGAAGCCTTATTTGCCTCTAGGGGCATCTTTCTTTCTTTCTTTTTTTAAATTGCTACTAGGGGCATCTTTCTGAGCTGCAGCTGTGTCTTGCTACTCGCTTTGTCTCCTGGGTGCATTAAAAGCCTTACTAACCAGTGTCCTGGGAGCAGCTTAAGAAATAGGGTACCTGGTTCTCAGCGTTGGGCTGAGGCTCTAAACACACCTAACCTCCCAGAGGCACAAATAAACTCCTTCAAGCTCAGAACTCAGTGGTTTCAGGTTGTTTATCTGAGAGGCCTGCTTTGTCCTCCACCAATCAGACTGTGTTTGCCCACAGCTGGGACTCCCTCATTGGCTGGGAAGCACAATGATTTATCTCCTGGGAGGTGATTAATGTGGTCTTTTGAATTATTCACAGTCTGCTTACTCCCTCTGGGTTCCCAGGTTCAGAAGTCAGGTCTGGAAAATGGGGCCACCTTTACCAGTGTATGCCACTGTGGTTCCACAGGCCATTTGGAGTGACAGAGGGTTTTGTGAGGGAAGCAACACTGACCTCAGAACTTCTTTGATAGCCACCCAAATCTATTCCCCCACTTTTCTGGTGCTTTCCTTCTTTCCAAGTCCTAGCAGTAATCAGCTCATTCCAAGAGCCAGGTCATATTGCTTACACCTAGGGGATGAATGTTTCCTTGTTATGCCAACAAAACCCAATGCTTCTCTCTACTGGGACTGATAATGGGTTGTTTGATTGCATGCAAATTTGCAGTTTTTTTTTTTCTTTAAACTGAGGGCAGGACTGCTGAAGTCTGGAGCCTCAAGCCATAAATGCTCAAATAATTGTTGTTAATTTGCAGATAACTCTACTGTGCAAGGCATATTGTAGAAAGAAAGAAACTCGGGTAGATTTCTTTTCTTTTTTTTGAATTCAAAAAGAGCTGTACCTCATAAAGAAATGATGGCTTTGTTTCACAGTCCTGTGTGCAACATGAAGCCCAAGGTGTCAGGGGCTGGGCTTGGGGGCTGCAGTGAACCTGTATAGTGCTCCTGATATTTAGAAAAGGAGACTCCTCCCTCAAGACACTTTATCACCATTTGGTGGGAAACTGCCTTAGTGAACATTACAATTGTACATATCATGTATAGATAATGGATGGTGTCTACCATGTAAACGGTAGTTCCTTGGTGTGTTGCCAGGGTGCACTGTGTGGCCCRCAGTACTGGCCTTAGATCACCTCCTTCAGAGTGGCAAGACTGTCTCCTGCCTTTGCGGTTGCCATCAGAATGTAAAGGCGATTTCTTGCCTTTGGCTCCAGGAGTTTTCTCCATGCACTTTCTGGGAGAATCATCTATCAAACACACCAAACTCAGACGGGTATCTGGAGTGGAAGAAATTTCTTTTCATCAATGTTAGGAATTTGGGGTTCATAAAAACTCATAGTTGGATGAAATTCTAGAAGATACCTAATTCAACCTTTGACTACTGTATGAATGCTTTTGGTAAGCTGTGCCCAGATAGACAAGATACGCTGTGACCTTGATTTTAAGAGTCAAGTCCTTGAAACACCCTTKCTGGGATCTTTGCAGTCATCTTGCAGAGCTCAGCCCAAGGTGGTCCTCCTTGGCTCTCTGATAAATCCCTCCTTCCATTTTATGACCATTTGTAACTTATCTGTGTGTCTCCAAATACTGGAGGAACAAGGTTGTTTTTTTAGATTGGTTTCTCCAGGTCTGATGTGGGAACTTGTATCCAAAYGTACTCCCATCAGTTACCTAGCAGCCCCAGATTTCCTAGTTCCCTCTGATCTCTGAGTTTGGTGTGTATTAAGTAAACACCATCCTTATTTTCTTCTTCTATTTGTCTTTACAGTTGTAACATCTCTTATTCTGCAGAACTCTTGCCTGCTCTGAGACAGCATGCTGCTTACCTGTTATTCTTCTTTCTCCAGGAAATCACCTGTCCAGTGAGCTAACATTTGTAACACTGGTGTTGACTTTGGATAATCATAACATAGCCCAAAGAGGAACAGAAAATATCCATTGTGTTGGAAACAAAGCAATTCACTCTTCATGTCCTCATTAAGTGATATTTATTGAAAAGGATATACCAGATCTTTTTTCTTTTTCTTTTTCTGGTAGGGAGGATCAAACCCAGGGCTTTGCATATGTTAGGTAAGCACTCTATTACAGAGCTATATCCCCAGCCTGGACCCAACATTTTCTACCATTTCTGCTCAGAGTGGAGCTGGAAGGAGAATTTGCAGGCAGAAGGAAGGAATTTCAGCACAGGGAACTTGGCTGGGGTGCTAAATGCACAGGCAGAGCTGGGGACTGTCTGTCCTGATCCACTCCTGGCATCTCTGCCTCTTGCATTCACTTCACTGGATGGTTTACATCTGGAATAGACTCCTCTTGGTTATTGGGAAGAATTTTGTTACATTTTTATTCTCAGTAGAATAGTTGGTATTCAGACAATTGTGAGGGGAGAGAGTCTGGCCCTTGGAATGCAGCCAATCTCCGGGAAAGCCTTTGGAACCCAGGATCCCAGAGGAGGTATCTGTCAGATGACAACACCTTAACCTGGTTTTATAACAGGTGCCCACCCACTATGCCCCAGTGATAATCAACCCAGGATTGAGGTTGAATCACAAACACTCATATATCTTTTGCAGAGTGACAACTGTTCTCTCAAGTCTTTCTTGAGTCATTGTCAGGCTAAGAAGTTAGGACTTATTTCATGTATTTTTCCAAGGTCCAAGAATCCAGGGTGCATTCCCTGGGTTCATCTAATACTCTGTKTGTCCTTGTGTAAGTTACTCTCCTGCTGTGCATCTCAGTCTTCCCTCTCTAAGGGAAACATGGCTCTACTGACCATCCAAATGAGGAAGTACCCTTCTTCTTTAGAATAAATCCACTCACCTGAGTGCAGTGTGGGAGAAGGGTCAGTGAGCTGAGTGGCTGTGGTAGAACAGTGGTGGCCTCAGCCTTATAGTGGAGATCAGTGACGACCATGGAGTCTCACAGATTTCCCTTGATTC